CCAATTCCACCAAACAGTGGAAGAGCAGTAATTAGAGATGTGACTCAAAAGTGAACAATGTTAATACAAACAATACTCCAATTCCACCAAACAGTGGAAGAGCAGTAATTAGAGATGTGACTCAAAATTGGACAATGTTAATACAAAAAAAGCGTATTTGCTTGTTATTACAAGTTCTGAACAGCGTGAGATAAGTAAAGCAATCACTTACCTTTTTTCAAAGTGTTATTTTCAAGAAATTAATAAATCATATTTCACGAATTTTTGTGCCCATAAATCATATATGGGGTAAAATACGAGAAATGCTCATATTACAATTGCTTTACAAAGTTTTGCAATCAGAGTAAATAAATATTTCATCTTAATTTTGTTTAAAATTGTCCTTGCACTATCGCCAGAGAATTATAAGCTGGTAAAACACACGATTTTAGGCCCGGCATGGCCAGGTGGTTAGGGCGCTCGACTCGTAATCTGAGGGTCGCGGGTTCGAATCCCCGTCACACCAAACATACCAACCTCCGCCTTTGAGAAAGGCTAGCAACTCCACCCCGTAAAAACCTACCTGCTACAAGTAACTGCAACAACAACTTTCCGTTGGCGAGGTGTTGTTGCGGCCCTCTGCTCCACTTGATTTTATGTCATATAAAAATACTTAAATTATTCACGGACCGGATTTGATCCAATGTGAAATGTTATGCAAAACCTCTTTTCTAATTTTGGGGATGTGAGTAGCGATAAAAGAGTGACTGACAAATCCAATTAATCAGTTAGGTAAGAATATCCCAAGAATTGCTCATGGTTGCTAATAGCTAGCTACCCGTCCCTCTAGCCTATCAGCTCACCATAAGGGACAGCTGTTCGCTTATAACTTTTGTGTAGCCATGCGCGAAATTCTGAAACTCGCAAACAACTATTTTTTTAAATGTTCATAGATTTCAACAGAAATATTTAAACATTTCAGATTAAAAATTCTAAAAAGACAACAGAACAAAAGACACAAATTATTCTGTACAAAAAAGCAGCTTCTAAATCAGGTTTTCATAGTACCATTAAACTAGAAAATAAACTTTATTAGAATGTTTAATGATATTTTCATTATAAACGTACATTTCGAGAGTTTTTCATCTATATACGCTGTACCACTAAGCAA